CACTCATTTCCTCCATTACCGCTGGCTGCTTCCCAAACAAATACACATGTGCGGCACGTAACAAGTCACGTGACGTGACGCTGCGGCTGTGATTCGTTCGGCTCTGCGCTACTTAATTTGGATTGGCTGTTTTTGTTAAGAGGACAAGAGAGATGAGGCCTATCGCAATAGTTTAACTTTTCTATCGAGGAAAAGTTATTTCGCAATACATATCGTTATCATTCTATCGCCCAGCTCTACCATGGCATAATAATGCATCTTGCAGTGTAACATCACTTTAAGATGCAGAAACACAGGAGGTTTAGTGAAAACTAATGTAAATACAAACTTTGTTTCCATTAAAGCTCCAAAGGTTTGAAGAGTATTACTTGCACAGCGTGTTTTTCATTAAAGTGCATGCGTCTTTTTGTTTGGTCTCACAGTAACAGAATGGGGTGATGATGTGCGGCCGATCTCCGAGGAAGAAGCCATGGTCATCGTCAACCACCAATCAACAGGAGATGTGTGCACACTCATGATGTGCCTGCAAGACAAGGGAACGGTAAGAAAGGACAGGGATGTGTTGCTTTCTTGTCACCTCCCCTTGGGGGAAAGTGTGTAACACTGTTAAGGATGCACTGTCAACATCTTTACACAAAAAGCAGTGCGGACGTTTGGACCTGCGGGCTGTTCCTGTGAGAACAAACATCACCCTGAAAAGCCTTTTGGCTAAAATTATGTTAATTTGGAAACATAATTCTTGTCTCAATTCATCCTTAAGCATTTCACATTAATGTGGCTGTTGACTTTGTGCATCATGCCAGTTTTGAACGTTTCACCTCTGTTGTAGTAACTGAGGAAAGCGAGGACACACAGTGGTGTGCAGTGGGACACCACTTTTAATAAACAAATAAATAAAAAACATGTTCTATTTATTAATTTATTTATTCATTGAAATGATTGCTGTGAGTCTGATTCGAACACAAATACAGGAGTCGGCCACTTTGAACAGCCCTTTTGATTACTGCATTAGAGAACTCCAGCTGTGAAGTGATCAAAATGACATTATATGAACACATAAAACAGCTAAAGTTGGATTTAAAAAAAAATATTGTTAAAATGAATGCTGCAGGAAGCTCATACTATACATTCATGCTGCCTGCTTAAGGCTTTCTTTGTGACTTCGTGAAATAATAATAGTAAGTAAGTTACTCCACGCTCACCTTTACCTGACATGTTTTACCGTAGCAAGCCAAAGTTGGTTTAATAGATTTATATGAGGAAAAACAAATGCCAGTTACCGGTAGTTGCATCATTTCGAGTCCGCCAGGTAACAGGATATCTTCCCTTTTTTTCTCCCCTCCCTCAACGTTTTCACTTCTTTGCTTATGTTGAGGCTGCTGGCTTGTGGCAAGGTGGATGGTTAGTTTTATTTTTAGGCACTTTTCCTCTGTTAGCATCTTTAAAATGTGTTTGTTAAGTTGGGTGAAAGTGATTGTAACAATAAATCTAATCTGATAGTTCAGTCATTTTTGTTGTGAATCCCCCTGGGATTTAATTTTGGAACTTTGTGTTTTAACTCGCTGTGAGGAGCATCCATGATAACATGATTTGGTTGTTGACTGGCTGTGAGGTGCGCAGTCAACAACTGCTGCCAGAATGGCATAAATTATGGCACCAAGATGTGAACTCTCCTAACCCTGCAACTATTTACTTGTTTGTGTGTTGCGCATGTGTCAAACAGACCAGTGGACATGCTTGAGGCTAACCAGCTGGTCACCGATCAGAACAGAGGATGCTGAAAATGAGTGGATGTTGCTTGACTTGTAAATTAGTCATCAGGAACACCCCCAATTTTAACTGTCTAGTCCGCTGCTAACGTCACAATAAAAATTGTTTTTGACCGCTACAGGAAATTTTCCCTATGAATTCTTAGTGATGTTTAGTGAATTCCAGCGTTAAGTGTTTTCAAACTACTGTTGTACTGTGTTAATAGATTCATGCTTTGAGTTTTCATAGCACCAAGGGGAATGTGTTTATTATCTCCTTGAGAAAGAGCAATAGTGATGGGAGTGTGCAGATGCTGGCTCTCTTGCATTTTTCCACACCGATCACTGTAAACGTACAGGGAAGTGTAATGTCAGTGCACATGCACACCTATTCCTCCAGGAGTGATAACTAACCTCAGTCAACATGTGTTTAGTTAAATGTATGTCATGCCTGCGTTCTTATAGGACTCCTGTTACCGTAATTGGGTAGCACTATAAAAATCAATGCAGACGGCAGTGTTGTTGTTTTCCCTTTTTTATTTTTTTTTGCCGAGAGCTGGCATTGGATTGGGGCAGCCAAGCTACACTGCACAAACATGATGACATGATTCGCCTCAACAACCGCATCCCGGCCCACTTTATCCTCTTAGCACTGAAAGGACAGTAAGCCAAAGCCACATGGGTGCAGGTCACGAGGGCAGAAATACTCAGAGGGGCAGCATCAGTTTGTGCTGTTCACGTAAACTCTGCTTATTTAATTTCTTTTTTTGTTTTTTATTTAAATTATTATTTAATTTTTTCTTTCTTGCAGGTGGTACGAAAAATGATGTGGCTGATGGACCACGTGTTTAAATACACCAACTTTGGCCTAGTGTCCTTGATCCATGGGGACTTCTTCATTAGACAGGTAAGTAGCCCAAAATCTGGAGGTCTTACTTTTATCTTTACTTTTGACTTTAATATGTTTTTTTTCTTTTCTTTGGTTGTTGTTAGCATTAACACAGTCTGCTTCACATTCTTAGCCTATTTTTTTTTTTTTTTAAATTGGCATATTAGCCTCAAAGCTTGCAGAAACACTTTTTTGCCAAAGGATAAAAGTCTATTTTTCCACACTTGTCAACACCTTGTTTTCTTCCCCTGAAGTTCTGAGAGTTCAAACCACAGAGCTTTGAAGTCGCAACCCATCTCATTAAACCCCAGTTACTAGAAGCCTGTTATTTCTGCGCTGTCCACAAGTGAAGCTACTATCCATCTGCTTGTTCCAGCTGGACAGCAGATATGTTAGCAGGCTTTCCTGCAGCCATGGTGTCCCGAGAAGGGGAAAATGTCAGCAGAGAGTGGTGTGGGAGGCCTGCTGAGCCCCTCTGGGTCAGACTGGGCTCTTTTGTTGTGGGGGCAGCTGAAGCAGAGCTCTGACAGGACTACACACACATCCTACAGGGCTCTGACTGGCCAGGGAATTCTTGGAATATCATGCAAGTTTGAGAGGTTAATTTTAGGCAAGATTTGTGCTAAACTCATTAGTGTCAGTGATACACTTACACAAAACCAAGGGGACATCTATTAGATATCAACTACAACAGCACAGCACATCTATATTGTGGCAATTTCCAAGTTTTACCAAAAAATGGGACGTGAGCATCTTGATATCACAATGATGAAAACCACGAGAGAGGACGGGCTACACAAATGCAAAAGCTTAACACATAAACCCCCGCGGAGCATCATTTTGTACACACAGTACACACAGAGAGGCATGCGACAGCAAAGAAGAAGGGGCAAGACTGCAAAATAATCGCAAATATAAAAAGAGGTGTACATCTAGTGAACGTAGATTAGTCATGAAACATAATGTAGTGATCTGCAATAGTATTATTTAGTTGCATTATTTCTGACTAAAAATAAGCTTTTAAAAAGGTTTTTCTAAAGACAAAGCAGATTTTTCATGATAGGCATTCAGTCATGAAATTGAAGCCATATATTCATATTCATCACCCAGACTATCGTACCCCTGTGTGCCAGAGTACACAGGATGTAATAAACATTTATCGGGTTACATAAACATTTGTTGCCTTGGATGTTAGAAATCAGCACGTTTAACTTCACTGAGTAAATAAAGCCGGTGAACTTAAACGGCACTAGCTTCCAACTGGACAAAATCTCGGAGGTCATGACTTAATATTAAACAGAAGCGCTGCTGAGGGGCTGTCTGTGTTGATCCACATTTGTTTTGTTGAATGAGAAGGCTCCCACGCTCCTCACGCTTATCATGCTGTTGTTGCACTTTCTGAGCTGAGCAGAAATGCCCTGACAAGAGGGAATTAAATTTTTTAGGTCATGGAAATGCATTGCCGTGGAATTTCACATCAGCCACCGTGCCGAGGGTGAAGCAACCCGAGCCTGCTAACAGCCAGCTGGACAGGCCGTAGTAGGAAGTCTGAGCGGGCTCAGTCATTTCTGCCGCCCTCGTCTCTCTCTGAAGTCCCCTCTGGCATTCCTGCACGTGCATTCTTGACATCCTTCCTCAGAATCTTTCACACATCCACACAGTGCAGCAAGCAGCTGCCCCGGCCACCCTGAGCATCTGCTGTCCACCCAGGCTGCCAGACGTGTCTCAGACATTGTTATGCAAAACACAATCCACCATTCCTTAAAGTAGGGGTGGGCGATATAAACGATATAAATTTGGCCAACGATAGAGATTTTGACTATATCGCTCTATCGCGATAGCGCATGTTGACGATGTCATCAAGCTGCGCCTGTCTTGGTCGAAAGCATCACAGCGGCTAAAACCGTTATCATCTGCAAATTATGGTGGGCGACAGTCACAGCAAAGAGATGAAGCACTTTTGAAATATGGGGAAAGCCAAAAACTGCGCTTCCTCCACTTCCGTAACATCGATTCATTAGTGTTGAATTGTCTTGCAGCTGTTCTTGTCCCGTGTTGTTGCAGTATATTAATAACTAACCTTGTATTGTATGGATGCATAATCTCAGTTGTTCTCCTGACTGAAGTTTGGCCCGTGTATAGCATCCTGCTATGCGGCTGCATTTGTCCCTGACCACCAGAACCCCCCACGTTAACTTTTATCGAGTGGAGAAAAGTTGGCGTTCATCCTCCAGCTTCACTGTGCTAATGTTATGCTAACATAGCTGTGTCGCTAGCAATCACGTAGCACAACATTATATACCAGGTAGTCCAACTTCAGTAACCCTGCAAACGCCACTGCTGTTTAGTCTTCTGTCTTCATTTATATTGGAAGTGATAGCAGAGCTGTACGTTTTAATTCGTTTCAAAAATCTCTGTCAGAACATGGTATGAAATGTTTAGGTGTAAACTAGCGAGCTAACTTTCTGTTAACTTCTAACTCCGTTAAATTTAATAAATTATGTTTTCATGGATGCCTGGATGAATTGTTACACCTGGTAAAGCAGCAACGCTGATGATTTAATTAAAGATGAAAGAATTTAGATCGTTTTTAACTCTTAGTGTTTGTTTGACTTTGGGACCTGAAGAGGACTGAGTTTTGGACACGGATTACTCCGCGAAGCAACTCACTACGGCAGCCATAATGCTCTGACAATCCATCAAACAGTGCAGCTTACCAAAGTTGTACTAAAACATTTTTTAACAGATTTCTGCACGCCCAAATCGGTTCGAGGTCAGTAAGCACAACCAGAATTCATACATAAGGCACACTCTTGATTTTTGAGAAAATTAAAGGATTTTAAGTGTGCCTTATAGTGTGGAAAATACGTTATATAGAAGAAAAGAATATATTGTGATATCTATCGCTACCACACATGCTTCAAATTATATCGCGATATGAATTTTAGGCCATATCGCCCAGCCCTACCTTAAAGGAAATAACAGTTATAAGCACACCTCAAAATTACAGTTCTTGCTTTTAATTTTAAGAGAGAGATAGATAGATCGATAGATATCTATCTTACTTTTTCTTTCTAGTGTTGTAATGAATGTGTTTTAAAACATTTTTGTTGTTGTAAGTGTAATAGGCAATAATAATATATTTTTACTCAAATGTTCAAAAAAAAAGTTCAGATGTCTGTTCACAGTGGTCATGGTGTGATACACATTTGTAAATTAATACTTTATATCTTTGGCAGTTGTAAAACCGGACAGTTGATGACTTTTTGCATATTATTTGCTTATTAAATTAAGCACCTATTTTTAGTTCTTTGACTACAATAATTACTCCTTGGACTATAAACTGTATGGTGGTAATAAGAACTTATCTAGTCTAGCGCAATGGCTCCTCAATTAAGCCAGTTTTAACCCTTATGAAGATGGTGTCATTTAGAGCTGTTGTTGAAATTGAACTTCATGGTCATTTTAAATGCTGCTGTCATTGAAGAGCATTGCCTTCACCACCTTGCATTTCTTCCTCTCTAGTGGAAAAACATTTGTTAGCTCATTAAAAAAAAACAACCTCCAGCCTCCTAAGTGAAAGAAACCTCCATTCACCTTTAACCTTTATATTAGGATTTATTGCAGCACTATTGTTTGCTTTAGTTTATCTCAGTGGACCCGATAAACTGGCAAGTGAGTAAATACTTGACTAAAGCCTGTGGGAGGGTAGCTAAAACAAAGCTGAGACAGGTGGAGTACATTAGTTTCATTTATAAATTCAGCTGCTGAATATTGAGTCATATCAAACCCCAAATCTAAATGTAATATTATCCTGTAATAATTTAGTTTTATTTATTTAGCAGTAGTTCACAACACCAGCCATCTCAGGTTGCTTTGTAAGGTACACACCGTATTAGAGAGATAGGGAGAATGAGCCTATGACCCCTGTGAGCAACGCTCTTGGTGACAGGGAAACCAAAGAACGCCCTTTTAACAGGAAGAGTAGGGAGGGGGAGAGAAGCATAGAGAGATGAGAAATGTGTTGTAAATATGAATGTAGCCAACATGAGGTCACATATTGGATTTGAGCTCCATAAATTGAAGCCTCAACTTTAGCATTTTTGCCACCACAATGTTTGTTTCTTGGAGCTAGAAGTGACCTTGAATAGGAAAGTAGTGTTAGTTTATCAGTAAATGCTATCATCTCTGTTAAAAAGCAGCTTCCATAAACTGTACAGGTGCAGTGCATACATGACCAAGATCCTAGAACTTTATTCATCAGAACTGAAGCACAAACATTTAGGCAGGCTGCAGTCCGTATCTCACAGCGAGCCATTTTATTAGTCAGTAAATTAAATCAAAATGCCAAAAGGCTTCAGCAGCTTGGGTGTGATTTGATCTGCTGTGCATGTGCATACAGTCTGTCCTGTCCTAAAGGCTAAAGAAATCAAAAAGATTAAAATTAAAAGCTCCAGTAGAAGCCAACAGCACAAACTTGGTGGTCAAGTTCAGTAACTAGCAAACAACAATTCATGCTATCGAAGTTGGGACACTTGTGCCAAATGGTCGTATCCCTAATTCTGGCATTATTAAAATAAATAAATCCCCTATAGAGTTATGAAGGGGTAATTATCCATAGAAGCAAAAAATGTTTTCTGTATCTTGAAGTTAATGTGTTTTTAATAGCCCATCAGCCTTTCTCTGAACATCTTCAAGTTTAACTTGAAGCAAAAATGCCAGATAGCACAGCAACTGACAGACGTATTTATTTACTGCTGCCAGAATGGCATAAATTATGGCACCAAGACATGAATTCTCCTAACCCTGCCTTACTGGGGAAATCCTCGCTTCTCCACAGAAACCCTGACTTTCAGTAGCAGCCCCTTTTTAACTCTAGGAATGGTTTACCTGACATTGGAACTTGGCCAACTGTAGTGTTATGGCACAACAATAATGTGACACATTGATACTACCAGAACCTTTCTGGTCCTACACTGTCAAGTCACAAAATGTACAATGAACAATTTCTTGTTCTGCAATATTTACCCATCCAGGTCGAAAATAGGTCCATATTTAGGTCATAAAGGTCCAGGTCCATATTTTGAAAACTTTTATTTTGAGCACATTGTCCACTTGTCAATGGGTTAGAGCAGCGGTCCCCAACCTTTTTTGCGCCACGGACCGGTTTATGCCCGACAATATTTTCACGGCCTTTAAGGTGTCGCGGATATATACAACAAAATAAAACTAGTACCGGTATCGAAAAAATAAGATTTATTCATAAGGCATGTGAAAAGACCCAGGAGAACCAAGTTAACGATAAAATCGATAACAAAATAACCCTGAAAACCATAGATTTCACACCTGAGCCTCAACTCTTGCGGCCTGGTACCAAACAACTCACGGACCGGTACCGGTCCAAGGCCCAGGGGTTGGGGACCCCAGGGTTAGAGGTTTGATCCCAAAGTGTTCTTGGGCAAGATTTAACCAAAGATTGGTTCCAGTAATAGACCGGCACCTTGCACGTGTGTTTCTCTTTAAATTGGAAAAACCTGAGTAAGTGCTTTGTGAGAAAGCTGCTGTATGCTTGCAGATCATTCCCTTTGCCCACTGCACCGTAACTCTAAAAGCAACATCGTGGACTATACTCTTCATTTTCATGTGGCTCTTGTAGCTGCTGTTAAACTACATCAACGGTATCAAGGTCATTTTTGAGCTTGTGATGTGTGGAGTCTCCTAATGCCTTTCTACCTCTGGAAATCAGCATTTGTAGCTGCCGCTAAGAATAAATCTTGAAATGACCTTCTTGGCCGAATACTCGGCTGTAGCTGTTGTGATGCAGCAGTTGTAGTAGGCACAGCTGCTTAAATAAACACATGTGCTCACAGAGAGCAGCTTGCTGTCCTAATGCATTTAAAATGAACTTTGACCAGGCCTAACATAAAAATCAATCCCGGTCCTCCTCATCCTGTTCCTGCTAATGCTCTTAATGTTGTCAAGGCCATCATGTTTGCATCCATTTCGGTGGTGCCGTTAATGCGGCTCGGGGAGTTACTGCACCTAACTTGTGATTTGTGTGTGTTTGAATTCATTTGCTTAGTCGGTTCTGCTCTGTCGAAAATGCTTTCTATCTTATCAAGTTAATGAACTTAGGGTGTAGCCCCAAATTTTTTTGTATCCTTGGGGCAACTAGTGAAGAGAACTGCTTATTTTAAATGCGGTCAGCCCATTTTAAGTTGAATTTTTAGGTTGAAAAATAGACCTGAAACCTCCTTTTGAAAATAAATGCTTATTTTCTGTGTTTCTTCAGGGTAAAGCTCACCGAGACAAGCAGCTGGTTTACCTGAAAGAGCACCTAGATAGATACTACCACAGCCGTGACAGGAAGTGGATAGTGCTGTTTCCTGAGGGCGGCTTTCTTCGCAAGAGGCGGGAAACGAGCCAGTTGTTCGCCAAGAAGCACTCGCTCCCCCATTTGACCCACGTCACTTTGCCTCGTCTCGGGGCCAGCCACGTCATACTGAAAACTCTGGGAGCCCAGCAGGAGAACGGCAGTGTGGGCGGCGACACCAGCATGCTGAACACGACAGGTAACAAAAACACACACACATGGGAAAAGCCTTTGGTTTAAAGTGAGACAAACTGATATAGAAACTGTTAGTTTAGACTTGGTGCCAAGGCTGAAGGTGTTCTTTGAAAGTGCAGGATTTTATCTCAGGAAGTTTTCTGGGGTTTAAAAAGCAGAGTCTGGATAAAGTTGTTTCTCCCTTCTTTTTTCTTTTTTCTTGATTTCTGTGAACTCTCTCCTGTTTATTTTCACCTGACATGTGAAAGTTCCTAAATTGATACCAGCAGGAGAGACAAATTGCTGGGAGCTTTGTGTCTGTTATTTATTTATTTATTTATTTGTTTTAAAAATGTGATAAATATGCTGATCCACCTGCTGTTGGGACCACAATTACAGCCACAGTAGTTTATTATTACTTTGATGTGAATACTATAAATACGTATTTCTAATTGGTAACTAAATCTGTAAAATAAATGTAGCAGAGTAAGTGCTGTGCAGTTTTTAACCTATGCTAGCTGTGGGTATCATGACGTGAACATGGGGTGGCTGCTGTGGGCTGCTGCAGATTTAAGGGTCACAGCAAACTAAACAAGTAGTTTGTGTGCATATACATTTTGTGTTTTTGCTTTGTGGATGGGAGGAGCTGAAAAAAATCACTTTTCTTCATATTTAAGCTTTTTGAACCTTCGAAATTGGATAAGCAGGGAAGTTAGATGGGTTTAATATTTAACTCTTGTTGTCTTTTACTTGCAAATTTTTGAACTACATTTAACAAGCATCGTATATTGTAGAAAAACATGATCTGGGTCCATTGTTTCTGTATGGACACACTGCAGCTCCACCATAAACTACGCCTCTGGTCATCTTTACTGTTGTAATGTTATTAACTTTTATGTTGAGAAATAATTTTTAGTTGAGAAGGGAGTGAAACCATCATGCTGTTGAATCCTGTTCCCCCCCCTAGTGGCTCCTTCCTGCTGTGGCTTCCATGATAAGTTTAATCCGGTTACTTTTAGTGGCCTTTAAGTTTTCCTTTAATGTGTCACTCACCTACCTTTTTGTACCTATGGATATATGCAGATCACAGTGTGACTGTGTGACATTTTTGGAGTGCAGGAAATGAATTTGTCTATCTTTTCTAGAAGAAATATCTTTCATATTACAGTTAAGATATTAGTTTGATCATTACAGATACCACCACTACAGTGTCCACCCATTGTACAAATCTAGGAGGTTCCAGTTTTTCCAGATGTGCAGGTAACTTCTTACTGCCATCAAAGTACTTCTAAAAGAAAGAAGCCATATTTGGTTTGCTGGGACAAAGCACTGCAATGTCTGACCTGTCAGTTTTTCTATACAGCAATTTTGCTTAAAAAAAAAAAACAACCCATAAATGAATTGATACTGAATGTATCAATTAGGCTCCTCCCACCAGCTTCCAGTGGAGGCTGTGCTATTGCTCAAGTATAACCAAGAAACAGTGGATCATCATTACAATAACAGGGAGGGAAACATGCCTGCAACTACATGCAGAAATTGTTGTAAAACTCTAGTGTGGACTTGCATCAATGCAACTACACGATTTGCTCACATTTCCTGTTCAGTTGTTGATGGGCTCTTTGGGGTGAGGGGTGTGACAGGTGTCATCTTTGCTACTGCTGACTTCTCCCATAGATTTCCTTTTTTGATTTGTTGAGGGTTTTGTCTCTCTTCTGTAATGTTTTTACTACCAATTCCACCTCAATCAGTCCAAGACGCAACCTCATACTGCCCTCAGGGATCAATCCTCTAACATGTACCCATAATAAACTCTTATAATTATATACATATTCTCCCAACGTTTCCTTAACACATGACCAAGAAATATGAGGATAAATTAAATTGATTTATTTATGTATGTATGTATGTATTTATTATTATTATATTTATAATTCATGAAATCTAGTCTTACCAATCCTTTCTCAATTTGGGCCCTATTTCAGGAGGACCCACTTAAATCTGCTCTGTGGACTAATATTGGAATACATGTTTTGTTTTTTACTCAGCAAATTTATCCAGATAACTCAGTAAATCTGCTGCTTGGAGCAGTCCTCAGCAAAAAGAAGGCATTAAAACAGCGATAAATGTAAAGCTTCAACGAGTCCCCCCCCCCCAAATGCCTGTGTACGCTGCACACTCAGTGTCGACCCAGCGGACTCTTCTTGGCTTTCGTTCAGAATCCATTTACGGGGGTTTGGTGTTAATAGCAAATTGGAGGGACTTTGAGCCAGCATTATTGAGAATGTGGCCCAGACTTTAGCCTTCCTCAAGTTTGCTAGCGCAGCTCTGTGTCCTACAGCCTCAGCACTAACAGCAAGATGCTGTCTGATTACTCCTCTGCAGGACAGACACTCAGACTGAAGATGAGGTGTCTCTTGATTGGCCACTGTAAAATTTAAATGAGTACAGCAGCTTTATTTACATACTGACGGTGCTAAATGTGCATTTTTTTTAATGCACCGGTCTGATTAAGTTCAAAATATTTACTGCGTTAACAAACGTAGGTGTGTGCAGAGGTTTTTGTGTTTATAATCTCCATCAAGGCAAACTATTACGAACGTTTTTTTAAGCATTTTAGGCACGTCAGTCTTATTCATGTGTAATCGTGCATTATAATTTGACCTTGCTGTACATCCAGTTCATATCCTCGTTCATGTTATGTCCTTTCCTCCGTTCCAGCAGCTCAGGAGGACGGGAAGCTGGTTGTTGCAGCAGGGCTTGTCCTTCCACTTAAATCTAGCTAATGGCATTAAAACATAGGGCAAGAAAATACACATGCCCAAAGGAGCGTTGTGTCCCTCACTACCCTGTGCTCTTCATTTGTGTATGTGTGTGTGGCTGTCTGATGAAAGACACAGTTCTGTCTCCCTCTGACCCTCACTGATGCTCTGCAGAGGTACCCAGAGCTCGCTGACTCACTCGGAAACAACCGGGCCACTTGAAGAAAATGGGATTTGATGCAGCCATGCAATGTCACCCGGGCTGAAAATGTCACTCTGTGCAAACACAAAGATTAGCACAGCTCTGTGGAAAGGGCTGTCCCTTGGACCAGTAAGGTGTGTGTCATAAAACTGTATTTACAGTTGCCAGGAAACAAAGTTCGCCATTGTGAGTCATTTAGGGTGGGTCATTAGGGAGCTCCTAATCACCCAAAAGTCAACATGTTCGATAACACCAAAAGTGGTTAAATCCACTTTTCAGTCAGTAGGATAGACAGACAGTTGTAGGCTTAAAGTGCAGCAATTTGGCCTGAGGAGTGGCCTCAAAGAGAGACAGTGTTTCCTTCCTCAAATTGTTTACCAAAGGATGGGGCCTATCTGTTGTCATTTTAAATTACCGTGGCCGGTGCTGTTACACTATTGTGTGCCACAGCATATAGGGTGCCAACAATACTTTGGCTCAGGGCCCCATTCTTTGACCAGCCATTCACGGGAGACTGATAGAGAAGGGATCCAGTTACCCACACAGGGATAACTGACGTTAGCTATTTCCATTAATACCAAGGATGCCTGTCAAGTCACTGATATTGGTATGAATCAGTCGACTTGCTCCTCAGCTGCTTCTTTCTGTCTTCTGTCTGGTGTTGAAACTATAGAAACAGAGGTGTGTACTCTTAAAGGTCAAGCTTTCTACGCACTCGTCTCTTATCTAGATTCATAGAAGTGTAGACAACCTTTGTAATCAGTTATATTGTCCCAGCTGCCCAGAAGAAATCCAGTAACCCCCACTGACGGGCCCGCATATATATTCTCCACAGTTTACAGGTTCCCTGCAGGTCACTGATGTCTGCAGATTAGGGGTTGATAAATTAAATTAATTACCAACATGAATAGGTGACACCTTCACATTTAAAAAAAGGTTACTTAACAAACACAACAGAATGTTTCTCGACTCCGTGTGGATGACATGTATATAATTAGACAGTTGTTTCAATAAATATTAGAAAGCAGTACCCAAGCCTTGCTTCATCACATCTCACTTTACATTAATAGTGACTTTACACCATAATGCGGTGCATCATCTTCGTCCTTTTCTCACCCCACATGCCACTGCCTGTTCACAGCCTTGTTACTTCCCGGATCGACTACTGCAACTCTCTTCTTTTTGGTCTTACTCAAAAATCCATCCACAAGCTCCAACGCGTCCAGAACTCTGCTGCTCATATTATCACCAGGACCCCTTCTATCCATCACATCACGCCTGTCCTGCAGCAGCTTCATTGGCTCCTGGTCAAATATCACATCAATTTCAAAATACTGTTGTTCACATTTAAGACTATTCATCATCTCTCCCCTCCATACCTCCATCCCATCTCGGTGTCTGAGATCTTCTTCTCTTTCTCTCTCTGTCCCCTCTCCCCATCTTGCCACCATGGGGAGCATTTGTTTTATGTCTTATGCTTTTATGATTGTGTAAACGGCTTTCTTTTATGTTGCTTTTATTATTCTGCTGTGTACAGTTTCCTTGAGTGCTTTGAAAGGCGCTTTAAAAGAAAATTTATTATTATTATTATTATTATTATTATTATTATTATTATTAA